CTGCTCCACCCCCAGCCCCAGCCGGTCCCTTCTAGGGAGAGGGAGGGTGGGAGGGTTATTCCTGAAGGTGGGAATACTGGGGAGCAGCTGGTTTTTTTTTCTTGGCACATTAATCACAGAGTTTGCTGATGCACATCTTTGATTCTTCCTTTTTTTCAGAACCTCTCTACGAAGTTGCTTTGTGAGTACAATTTTTCGCCTGGCACGTTAAGATGACTTGGAGGGCATCGTACTGATGTGTGTTTCCAAAAAGCCTCTTTGCTCAGGGAAAGCCAAAGATTTCTTTGACTTGCTGGGGGAGGATCTGAATCCCTTGACAGCCCGTTTAGCTAGCAGCATGAGGACGTTAACGTTTTAGGGCAGGAGGCAGCAAGAGAGAGTCTGGTTTTTAATGTGTTAGAATGAGAGAAAAAGACTCTGGGCCCTTCGCTCCGCCTGGCAGATGCCATGGGAAAACTGTTCGCAGTAGTAAACTCCCACCTTTATTTCACAAAGCAAAGGACAGGAATTCTCAGCTCTTCCCTCGGGATAAGTTCCTTCTCTACGTGCCTTTCTCTTTAAGAAACACGTCCCAGTGCTTGCCCAAGTAGTATTTTGTGCCATTCCTATTTGCTTACAATTATACGAACATATCTTCTGCCCTGTCCTAATCTCAACCTTTAATCCCTTCGTACTGCTTTCCTATTCAGAGGCATACCCTACCCATCTGTAGCCTCACACATTGCCATTTTCCCCAGTAATTACTGGGAGTTACTTTCTAAAGGCTGGACTATCCGCTGGTAACTCTTTTGAGTGTAGTATGATAATGCCATGAGAGTTTATGGTACCAATGTTAACTGTTCATTGCTTCTTTTTGTGTGTGTAATTCTTCTAACGTTACTTTCTAGTGTCTTTCAGAGCCTCCCAGGCCCTCACTAGATAAATATCAATTTTGCTGTTCCACAGATTATGTGGTAGATCTTGTCTTTGACTAAGATGTAAATCAAATGACTTCTGATTTAGTCGTCCTCCTCAATAATGTCTCTCTCGTTTCAGCCATAGCGCTGCAGATGTCACGAGATTGGAGACTGATGTGGAGTGCCTACACAAGGAGACGAATTCTAAGACTGAAACATCCAATGACACTTCCACCATGAAAGGCAACGGCCATGACAGCACATGCATCAGGAAAAATCCGGAGTATGAGAACCTCATGACTGCAATGGAATCGGAATATGAAATAGAAGGAATTTAGCTGAGTACCAGCTTTTCCACACGAGCAGCCGGGCAGGGCTGCAGACACTGGGTGGCAAACGTCACCAAAGGAAACTCTTCTTCCTGTCTGCCTTCTGCGCTGATAAATGTACCGGTCTCGCCGCTTTCTGTAACCCAGGGGAACTGCACAGCCTTCCTGGGCTTTGGCAAATGGGGCCCTGCCCGCTGGTGCAGAAACCCTCAGCCAAGTGCTTATCTACCACTTATGGAGTGAATAATTTCTGAGCAGCCTGAAGGACCAAGGTGAGGAAGAGAGGATCTGAAAGCGTGGAAACACAAATGTCTTTAGCCTGCAAATCAAGGTGTAGCTGGGTGCAATGCTGCTAGCCGGTAACACCGGCAAGGCGTGCTCTCATGGGCATGTTCCCCTGGCAGGACGTCCCAGCCTGCGCGGAGCCAGGGATTGGGCTGGAAATGGACGTCCTCTGGCCTTCACAGCTCAACGCTGGTTGTACATCCTGCTTGGCCTTGAGCCTTTTGTTGTTAGAACATGGTAAAGGGATGGCAGATGATGTCCCCAGAATGCCATTTTTGCTATCAGGCTGGAGCTCATTGGTAGAGGAAGGGGGAATGTCCCTGTAGGCGCTGGCCCTCCTAACTGCCACCCTCTGGTTTTCTCCTGGAAAAGCAGAACTGGTGTCGAAGGAAATGCTAGCATTTTATTTTTACAGCGTGGGGGCCAGAAGCATAATAAAATAGAGAGAAATTTGAGGCATTTGGAATAAGGATTGAGCAAGGGACCTCCCTGGACGCCACAGACTGACACCGATTCACTCTGTGGGATGGGAGTCAGTCTGGCCAATTACAACAGAGGTATTACCCCTGACCTGTGTTAGCGGGGTGTTGTGAGTGCTCCTGTCTGTAAAATGCCTTGAGAAGTGCCTGAGTAGTGCAACGTATTTTCTTTCCCAGGGCAAAGACAAAAGGCTTCAAAGGACTTTGTTGCATATGAATTCTGTGCTAATGGGGTACAGGCTTTGGTGTGGGTCGCTGGCAAAAGTAAATAAAGCAGAAGAAAACTTCCTTTTTACAAAAGCAGCAAGGCTGCGTGCTGGGCCGTTGCTGCCTTCAGCTGAAGCGTTTCCTGCAACCCGCTGTTACTCAACAGCCTGGTTCGCTTCCTCATCGTCAATCGTTTGCATCTTACGGGTGCTGGGGTGCTGCTGCAGTGCTCTGCCCTCCCTGTCTGTCGGAGACCTCCCGGCAGCGTCCCTCCGTCCTACAGGCTTGGCCAGCAGACCGGGGCAGAGAGGGACGATGCTACCTGGCTTTAGCAAAGCAAAGTTGTAGGGAGAGTTATTGGCTTTTATTAAACCAGTCAGTGCAGCTGGGGGAGCACGGGGAAGCAGATGAGCTCTGGGTCACGCAAGCCCTCCTTCCTGACGCTGACTGGGACCCGCGTGGCTTTTGTCCCTGCTGCCACGGACCTTCCCTTCCCAGGGCAGCAGCCTCATAGCAGGTTCACCTAGCTTTTCATGGCCTGAGCGCTGGGAAGAAGAGCCTCCATTTTACATTTCGCGCTCTGAATTACAGTGACACTTCTTCAGGACATTAAGTGAGTATCAGGCGAGATCAGAGTCTCCTGCCTGTATTATGAAGGTTTCATAAACATGGCAATGGACACGCAGGGACGGTTGTGCCTCGCGGGGGAGGCAGGCAGCAGCCAGCAGGACCTGCCTGTCCTTGCAAGGGCTAGGGCAGTGCCAGACCCCGCTCCAAGCCCTGGTCTCTTAGCTCTCAGACCTGGGGAGGAGGGGAGCTGTGCCCTGACCAAGGGCAGAAGTGCAGGGACCATTAGAAATGTGCGTGAGGGTCTCGTGCATTGCACCTGGGGTGAGGCGATTCACCCCACGCAGCAGCGCGCTTGCTGCCGCGAGCGCACGCCCTGCCAGAAGCTGGCCTTGGAGACGCCGGGCTGGAGCAGCAGCCGCTGGTGTCAGCGGTCTCGGAGGCGGTGCAGAACAAAGGGAACGAGGGGAGCGGGGAGCTGCAACGTGCTCATGCAGGGCAGAAGCGTGTGGTGCGGGGTCGATGCTGTGTGGGAAGGGAACTGAAAACTGCTCAGCTTCCCCATCCTCACCTCAGCAGATCCAGGCCCAAGACACAGGACGTGGCACGCCCTTTTATCCCCCCAGTGCCATCGTCATTAATTTTCAATTAGCCTAGTGTTTTATGCAAGATTTGCTGCCATTATAAGCTCCCAGCTCCAAGTTCCCTCACTGACTCTGTAACACCATGATTTTTCCAACTTTCGATTCCTCCCAGCGCTGGTCTGCTCTGAGGAGGTCCGGGCAACTTCCTCAGAAGAGCTGAAGCCTGGGAGAAGCTGCAGAGGCAGAAGGCAACAGGAGTTAAGACAGGGGTAGCAGATGCCCCAGCCGGAGCAGACGCTGCGTACCTCGTGTTGGCACTGCCTCTAGCTTGGGCAGCAAAATGGCTTTGGTCACAAGCAGCAAAACGGTGGGAACACAAAAAGTCTGTCTCCAGTGCCGAGGTGGTTGTTTCTCCCTATGCAGCAAGCGTGTGATTATTTTTTTATTTGTATTTTTGGTATGTTTGTTAGTAAAACCTGTTGGAAACAGAACATTTTCTTCTGGCAGTCACGGAGGGCTTCGCTGTATTGTATCACCCTCGAAGGAAAGAACTTCTCCTTCCCTTGTGCTGGTCACCCCCCGGTGACACGACTCCTCTGCTGAGGGCCAGCGCTGCGCCAGCACAGAAGGGAAACCTCAGCTTCCGCTCCAAACCGACGCTGCCTCCAGAAACCACGCTGCTGCTAGTGGCCAGCACAGTGTCATGAGACTTGCAGCTCCCTTTGCTTCAGAGCAACTGCAGTGCACGTAGAACGGAGGGGACCTGTCGGCTTTTACGCTTGCCGGGTTTGCCCTGGCCTCCGGAGCCCTTCTGAACCTGCCGTTCTCAGCAGGGAGAAGGGAGAGGAAGTTTCCAAGAAATTTGTCACACCATAATTTGGTATTTGTTCTTGTAAGGGAGGAAGGGGTTAACTTTCTTCCCTTTCCCCCCAGCCATCTAGAAGGAACTGGGGGCTGGGGGGGTGTTATTTAAAAAGCAAAAGGGCAAAATCTACTGAAAGTAAAAGCTGGAAATGCATAAGAAAACAATGATGAAAAGTGTAAATGAACACTTTGGCTAGCTGTGGTGCAGAAGAGTTGGGTCTGCTGAAACCTTGAGGTCTGTGACGGCAGAAAGGGTTGGTTGGGGTTGACACAGCTGCCTGCTACATTAAGGATCCACTGGGGACAAAACAAACCCTGAAACAATAGACTTTGTTCTCTTTTGAAGTGGCCTCAGTGATAAAGATCAGGGTGATGTCTGTGAGTCATGAGTAGGTGCCTGAGAGAGACCGCGGGAGTCCGACTCACAAGGAGTAGGACCATGTTTGTCCAGAAGCGCACAGTGAGCCCTACTGATAGGGCCTATTTGAAAAGCCCAACACCCTTTGCTTAGGCAATGATATACGTTCATTGGTCCCAGCTTTGTACAAACTCCAACATCTTCAAAACATTTAGCAAGAAACAGCTGCAACAAAAAACCCAAAAGCTTAGTATTCAATTCTATCAATATTCTCAAATATTGCAAAATTTGCTGGTGATACTGTCCTAAAACAAGTCAGTAGGGTCTTGGGATTTTTTCTTAGTTCCTGAGTTTTCAATGGTAAATGCTTTCAGAGAGTTTGCTTTGTCAGACTGGGCTGGCACTCACCCTCTGTCATTCCCCCCCATCCTGACACATCTCAAGCTGCAGATCTCATATGCTGCCAGGCTGTTATTAAAAATGCTTATCAATCCTTAGAGCTTCAAGTGCGATGATTTAGAGGGAATTACTTTAACTAAATAGCACAAATGCAAGAAAAGCAACCTGGCTGCAAGCGCTGACTAGGAATAACCACCCCAAACCAAGGCGTCTTCTCCCCACGACAAGGAGGAGTGACGGACTCCATGGCCTAATTTAAAAACAGACTGAGCAAACATGCATTTTGCACTGGCTGATGGGACAGAGGGAAGTTAATCAGCAGCCTCATTAGTTTGTACTCCAACTTCAAATAAAAAAAAGATTCCTGCGTGTCCAAAGAAAAGATTCTGTATTATGGATAATTCTGCTCTTACCCATGATGTTGTGATTATAGTTGCCAGAATCCTTGTTAACTGAGCAGGATTATTAATTACCAGCTGGGTAGTTAATGCTGTGGAAGAGAACAGCATTGTCTTTGGCTGCAAAGAATAAGGAGCCAGGGCCCAATTCTCTGCCTTCGCAATGCAGAGGGACTGCACCAGCACCACTTCTGTACAGACTCGCCCTGAGGAGGACTACCCCCATAGGCGCTTCCGAAACTGGGGTGGAAGGGAAACCTGACAGCACAGGATCAGAGTCAAGCATTCAGCAACGATGGGATGGGTTGTTCAATACCTCGCTGGGCTTTGGGAGAGGAGCAGACTACGGACAGGAGGGCTCCCACCCGAGTGGGAGGAAGGAGCCGGTCCCCCGGTGTGCCGCCGCGTTGCTCAGCAGGTGCCTCACTTGGGGTATTTGACAAACTGACACTCTGCACACTGAGTGTCGAACTCAGCTTGTCAAATACACGCAGTGCTGCACTGCAGCTCTCGGTGGGTGTCGCCGAGGTCTTCGCTGGAGTGCTATCCTGGGCAAACGGAGAGGGAAAAGAAGAGCAGAAGCTGCTGTTAACTTCAGAGGCTTTTCCAGTTAGCCAAAACCATCATTATCCCTCCCATATTTCCCCCCCCACCCCCCCAACGCTTTTCTTTGGGTGAGAGAGAACCATACAAGCAGACGCTGCCTTCTGCTGAGGAAAACGTCCGCTATATTAATTCAAAGGCTGAAGCTCTGTGGAACTGAAAATGGTGCTGCGAGCTCCAGACTAACCTTCTGCCTTCGCTATACAGCTGCACTGGCAGCTTGAAATATTGACCAAAAGTCCATGCAAACACTCAGCCATGCCGT